GGGTGCTTTTGTTTTAAGAAGGCTGCATGATCGTTGTGTAGCACTGTTCATGGTTTTTCGAAGTGTGGGGTTTCAGGTATGCATTTTGAGCCCAAACTATTTCAGCTATTGAGAGAATTGAGAACTTTAAAAAATCACCTTAGAGGCAAGTGCAGGAGGGGAGATGTTGGGTTTTAATCTTCACTTCATATTGCAGTCCACATATTTGTATTAGCTGTAAACATTTTAAATCGAGGGGGAGATCTATTTTGTCTTTAAGCTATTTTCCTGCTTTTGGTTGCTCTCCTTTTTTTTTCATTAATACTGGTACCTCTGGTCAGGGAACTGAAACGCTAAATTAAATGCTCTGTTGACTTCCCTGTGGAGATAACACGCCAGGAAAACAGATGGCTTTTTTTTTCTCATGGCAAATTCATTTTATCATTTGCTTCAGTGAGTGTTATCTCTGTAGTTCACTATTATATGGCAGCTCAGATGCAAATGATACTCACCCATTAAAACTAACAGTCTTTGAATTGGGAAGGTTCACACCAACATACATAAATACATTCAGTGGATAAAGTGCAATTAACAGTAGAGGAAAAGATTCTGGGAGAGTATCTGCACTCACGTTACATGTAGAACTTGAAGGAGCTCCATGTACTGTGAGTTGTTCTTCAGTATACAAGTGACAAAACATAGTCACATGCAGTAGTTATATGTGGCTGTAAGGGGGAAATAAAAGTATGAAAACAGGCCTAAAAGGAGAAGGTACCATAACGTATTAGAAATGTGTTTAAAACACCTGTTTTAAATCATTCCTAAGAGATTCTCTTTTTCTGTCTGGTTGTTTCTTTCCAGGACCTGTTTTGAAAATAGAATGCTGTTTTCATCTATATTGTTTTACTAGCATTTAATATTTTTGAAAATGTAGTAGAATGGATCTCTGTTATTCATCCCTGAGCAATCAATTAATCCAGAGCAAAGTACAAGCCAGGTGCTTTGCTACTGAGTGCTGGTTGCTGCCTGCAAAACCAGGACTATTATCATTGAACAAGAGGAAAATAAAACCTGTGTATAAATGTCAGTCAGCTGCATCCTGCAGATATAAACCAGGAATTATTTCAATGCAATAGGATTTTTTAATCTGGTTTATCTGCTGCTTCTTTTTTTTAGACCCTGATAATTAGCTGAAGAGGCTGGAATGTAGAATACACAAACATTACATGTTTTATTACCAGATCCTATTCAGCTGACTGTCATCTTCATGTTGCTTCAATACTGTGCAGTCTTGGTGTGGCACTGTAAGATATTTTTTTTCTTAGTTGCATGACCATTTTGAGTGAACTTCAGGCAATGTTGCTGTCTGGAGGAGATGCTGTTTGATGTGCTGTTCACATCAGGCTCAAGAAATTGGGATTTGTAAGCGAGATGGATGGAAGCATGTCATGTTGGTCTGGAGGGGCTGAGTCCAGTCCCTTGTGGCTCTAGGCAGTTGGTGTTATGTTCAGTAAGGTACATAAGCCATCAGCTTTGTGTGTTACCTGTCGTACACCATGGTTGTAAGTAACTTCCCAGAGCCGTCTGATCAATGTACAGTCCTGTAGTACACAAGTCTTGAGCCTCTGTGCTGCAACAAACTATGAGAAGAGAGCTGGAAGAGTCAGATTTCACTGGATGTTTGAATAATGTTTTTTTTTTTCCTGAACTGTTTTATATAAACCCTTTAAGGTATCATTGGAGAATGCTTCAAAATCACCATGTTGTTTCAAATACAAATGTTGCATTATCTGTTCTCATGTGCATAGTTGATTCCAGAATGACAAATGCTTTGGTCAGGCAGGTCACAGAGGCAGTGGTGCGATTATATTTTCATGTTGTAAAGAACTGTCTCTGATTTGCTTTATTCTTAGATTCAAAAGGAAAAGAAACTGCGGCAATGAAAGCTGACCTACTGAGGGCTCGCAATGTGAAGAGGTACATTAATCAGCTGACTGTGGCAAAGAAGCAATGTGAGAAGAGAATAAGGCTCCTGGGAGGGCCTGCTTATGATCAGCAGGACGATGGCCCTCAGAGTCAGAAGGTATAAATTGAATAGCACATACATTGAAGGTCGTTCTAAATGTGTTAGCACTGGATCATATTATCCTCGCTGTCATTAATCCCTCCCTTCCCCCGGCAGCCATGTACAAATTGGTTACCCAAAAAGACTTAGTGATCACTTGGCCTGGAATATTGCTACCTGTGAAACTTCACAAAGGGTTGTGTGGCTCATAAACACATGTGATTTTTCATATGTACTGCATATAGGGAGTTAATAAAGACATGGTAGTGGCCTTTCTGAAAGTAGGAACTTGCCTTCAAATAAAAGATTGCCAACGTAGTGTTTCTTTGGCCCTTGTTACATGTACTTTTGGAAATACTTGTGGATTTTGCAAATACCAAGTTAATTCAAAGCAAACACTTACTTGTGGAAGGCAACTGATAAAAATATGGGGTGTCGTTGAAGAAAAGCTCTGGTAAAGCTGTTGACTGAATGCTGGTTTTCAACATCACTGCAGTCTGGAATTGGAAAAAAATACTTTTGTGTTAGCCAGCATCTACAAAAATAAAAGAATGGTTACTTATGCAGGCTAAACATTGAAGTTTAGTGACTTCATTGTGTAACCTACTCTGTCCCCTTTGGGCAAAGTACAGTAATTGATGTACTCAGATCAGAAAGAAGACTTCATCTTGTTTCATGTAGGTAGAAGAGAAGTTATCCTTTCATGCAGGGATCTTTAATTTTTAGTATGTCCTTATAATAATTGTAACTTAGTGGCATGTAAGAAAAAATTGCATGATGGAGAAGTAGTTCTTAGTTGTGTCTTTGTCTTTCTTGAGTAAGGCCTGAAAGAGGGCAGTTGACTACTGTCCTCATCTTTAAAGCATGATTTCTGAGAGTGTGTTATAGATTGTGCCAAGGCAGTCCAGAACTGTTTCCTGGAGTTGGGTGTAGTGAGTGGTGCCAAGGAGAAAAGGAGAGAGGGAAGCATGTGGCAGCACCACATGAGCCACTGATGCCACTTTTGGTGCCTGCTGAGATGTTATATCTTTACAGGATAGATACATAGTGACATAAGATTGTTCAGGAACAGGATCAAGTAGTGAAGCTGCATTGGATAGGGTCAGCAATACAATAAAATATAATATTATTCTATTAAAACAAAGGAATTCCTGTTTTTAATGTTGCATGTTTTATAACCAGATGGATTTTTTTTTTTATGGGAGCTGCTGACCCAGGGTTATAGCTTGCAATTATACCCTAGAAACAGGAATTAATATTCCTATTAATATTGCACAGGCATTTGTTGTAATGGTGGCAGAAGCAGTAGAGTCTGTTTCTAAGCTTTTGATGAAGTTTCTATGAAGAAGCCCTAGAACCCCCCACACCCGTGTCAGCGTAGAAAACAGCAAAACTGCTGCTCTCTTCTGTTGTCCCCAATTCTATTGTCAGGAAAGAGGCTGAGGGAGGCTGGATGAGAGATGGAGGCCACACTGTTCTCTTCTGAGCACAGAAAAATGCCCAAGGCTTGGCTGAGGATGGGGACTCTCTTTCAGTGCTGCTTTTTCCCATCCTCTTTCTTCACTGTGGTAGCTGCAGTCTGGGTTATTTCAAGGCAGCTAGTGCTATTTTGGATGCTGGCCCCTTCTATGTGGGCAGTATTGACTGAACACTTGGAACACTTGGAACTTTTTCTAAGCAAAAGGGAAAGGCATAGTTTGGGACTTAGTAGATAAGCTGATGTTGGTATGTTGCTGCTGGTGGCCCATCATTTCTCTAAATTTAGAGTCTGGCTTGCCAGTTTTTCGGCTAAGCTAGCACTTAGCCTGCAGAATAACTAGTTTGTGTAGAAGAAATGGGAAGTTTGCCTTCCTTTCTTCAGGTTGCATACAATGGGTCTACTGAAGGTGTTTGAATTGCTATTTTATGTACATGTAGTACAGAAGCATGAATACAATATTACTTTTGGGGAATATTTGGTATTAGTTGAACAAAGAACAAATTGACTAGTGACCTAAACCTTTTGATTTCACTTCTGCATCCTACAGAATGCTCTCTCCTTCCTGCAGTAGTAGGGGAATAATAGCACTGCTGCTGCTGTTATGGTTCGGATTATGGTCTTAAATGTGGAGGTGGATTATTTTGAGCTGTCAATGTTCTTCTTTTACAGATTTAAGAAAAAAAATTAGGTACTTGAAAATACTTTACCCCCACCCCTCCTTTCACAGCAGAAGCTAATTATAAAACAGTGTCAGTTTTCTGTTTGACTAGATAGTCCTGTGACTTTTATGTATTTGACTTTGCATATGTTTCACTCACCTTATTATCCTGAATTTGGGTTCTCTAGGGAGGTCATGAATGTGTGAATTATAATCAAAAGCTTATAAGCAAACAAGCAAACAAACCAACCCCAGCTACTCTCTGAGTCTGAATTCTGTCATTAGCTCCAATACTGATGTATACTCTGCCCTGGGTGTTAGATTTGCTTTCAGAGAAAATGCAGTTCAAATTAGTGTAATGTATAAAGCATCTCTTCTAATCTACTTATGGTCAGTACAGGTTTAGTCTTTTTTCATAGAAGTGGTACCTGCACAGTACTGCAGTAATTAATTGAGTTCTTGTTGTCTGTGTTTATTCAGCAAACTGTTTGTTTGATTTGTCATCTTCAGCACAACAGCCACATCACCACATCTGTGATTTGATGGGTGGAATCACAGCATCTCCTTAGGGGAGCTTTTTGAGAACCTCAGGTGGTAGGAGGAGCTGTGGTGATCTGATCCTTGCCTAGCTGTGAAATAGCAAGGAAATGGCCCAAGTGTATTTTTGAGGCACAGGCAGTTCGTGTTCATAATCCTACTGATTAGGAATAAGTTGAAGCTCCTGCAGAAGACCTTGCTTCCAGCATGTATGAAGCCAGGCTGAGAAAGTTGGGGCTGTTCAGCCTGGAGAAGGGAAGGCTGTGTGGATTCCATGTATCTGTGGTTAGACGCTGATTTAACTGGTGATTGATCAGATTTTCACTGTGATTTCCAAACTTGAGATCATGTTGTCAGGATACTTCGTGGTACAGAATTTGGGGATATAAAGAAAGCAAGCTTTAGTTGTTCCTGCCGCCTGCAGATGTCTGTCTTATGACAGAAGTTCATGAACATGTGAGTCTTAAGGGGTTTTTTGATTAGTGTATGAGCAGTGAAAGAGCCAGGTACCTTATGCAGTATATACTTCTGATAGGTTACCAATAATTGCATTTAGTTCAGCTACTGCTGTATGTGACAAAGATAGTCTTCTGATGACTTGCCTCTTTTTAAAAAAATAATGAAGAATATATGCTTTAATTTTAGTCAGTGTACAGATGTTAACTAAAGCATTAGTTAATGTTTTTGAAAATGCAACTTGGAAAGAGACACATTTTTCCAGTATTATTTCTGCAGTGTGACTGTGTGTCATCATCCCAGCAGAGAACATCCACTGCTGGCCCAAATTCTGTTCACCCACCCATGAGCTGCAGTGCTGTTATCAGCTTTATTGTACTTCATTATATTCATTATAGGCCAATGTGGTTGTAGTCAATGGGAACCTGGTGTGTTGCAAAGAAATAGAGTACAGTGTATCTGGTGCCTATACAGGTCCATCCAAATTAAGCACTTAGTTTATGTTCCTCACCAGAGAGAGGCTGCAACTGTCTCTGGGGATTTGTCAAGACCAGGTTTTTGCTTTGTAGGGCCAGGAACAAGGTTATTCCATGTGCCTGTGTTAGGGATGCTGGTTAGAGCACTCGGGGGGAAAAAAACCAACCAACCAAACCCCTGCCTAGTCTTTGGCAGAGCCTGTGGCCAGCTGTGATATGCTAGCTACTTCCCTGTTGGAGCAGGGTATTGATGTACCAGCAGTAAAGCCACTGGTTTTTCCAATCCCAGAAGCTGCTCTCAAGTTAAAAGGACTTGTGCTGTTGAGGCTGATAATTCTAAGATTGTATCTGCTGACTGGATGTTAGATTGAGGGTGTACACATGCCTTAAGATAAGCTTTTCTGTCCATTAATTTGTCTTACTAAAGTACTTCAGTTTGCAAGGTAACTAATAGGAGGTTCATGTAACAGCGTTATTAGGCACCATCTCTTTAATTACTATGGGGCACCTGTGCAATGGGCTCTTTGTGAGGAGGGATGGTTGCACTTGCCTTGCTCCCTGCAGCAGCGCTTATCCACAGTTAGTTTTGAGAGGGAATGTTTGTTAATTACCCTCTTTTCTGGCAGCCTGGGTGGGGATACTTTACGTAATAGAGGCATAAAGACTAAAGTGACCTCTTGCTCAAGAAGAGACAGTATGTGCTCTGCATTATGATTTATTACCTCTATTATCGTACATAGAGCTGAGATCCTGGAGATGGTGGCGATCACTTTTCAAGAGGCTGGAAGACCCTCTTTTGCTTGTATTTTAAATCACTGTCCTTGATAAAAAGATTGAATAGAAAGTATGATGATGCACAGCAATGAGACTAAACCACAGACTGCCCTCTGAACTGTCGTCTCTGTGCTCTTCTTTTGGCCAGTCTGATCACCATTTCTGTAATAAGCCTAGCTTCAGCAAGCCTGCCTCTGTGCTGTTCAGTGAGCATTACAGAGCAGCCTCTGAAAGGCAGAACTTTATGTTTATATACCTGAATAGCTCTGAAACTAAGAGCAAGCCATACCCAGAAGATATTGGTATGGTAAAGAATGAAGAGAGGAATGCAGCATTATTGTCATTGAGGAACTTTGAAAATGAAAATTAGCTTTTTGGCTGAGACAAAGACAATTTACTTAAACACTGCCCTGAAATTTGAGGGAGCTGTTTCAGGCAAAACATAGTTAATTACAGTTTTCAAAGAACCTTCTGTAGCTTGGTTCATTAAGAAAATGACTTGTGCTAGTAATTGTGTACATGCACATGGATGTGGTTTCTTCCCATACAGCTTAAGTCCAGCAGACTGTTCTTCCTAAATGTGACTCGGTGCTAGACTCTCACAGGTACTAAGCTGAGTAAATTAAATGATCTTCCCAGAGAGAGAAATCTGATGCATGAGCTGAATTGTAGTAGTATTAGGTATTGAAAAACCTGTATTAGAGAAACATGTCATGGGTTAATATGCCTCAGTTTTGGTTGGAATTGTCATGTACCAAATTATCTTTGCTATAAAATGCAAAGTCAGGAAGATAAGACTTGTTTAGCCCCAGTGCTTAAGGACCTGCTTTTCTTTCCAAAGAAAAAGGTGAGGGTTGGTTGGTGTCTGTTGAGGTACAAAGCAAGAGACCGTGACCATCCTGGTGTATTTGGATTCCTGGCAATATTAATAATGGCACTAACTGAGCTACATGAAAACTGGTTCAGCCGCGAGACTGAAATGTTGGAGGGGAAGGGGTGGTTGGTTTTGATAGTGTGTTCTGAAGATTGGTTCTATTTTTCAAAGATAGTCAAGGTTGTTCATTTTGTTCAATGTGGGAAGATCTGTTCATTTTGTCAGGGAGGTGTTTTGTTTCCAGGTAGGTGTTTCTCTCAAAGAAAAAGCCTGGCTTCACAAAAACAGTAGAGGATGAGGAAGCGATAATGGCTTTTTAATCCAACATCTTAATGGCGGCAGCATCTGCTTAGGTGGGAAGCATATGTTTCATTTCATTCTCTTCTTGACGTACACCCTCCTCTCTCATCTCAGGAAGAGTCCTGAGCATTTTATCACAGCCCGTACCCTTTCGTGGCTGCATTTCTGATAGATGCTTTTCAATAACACAGAGTTAATGGGAACTGGGCACCAGGTGCCCTAGCTGCTAGGGTAAAACACTATACTCCATCTTTCCCTGTGTCCTAGGGAATAATTGAGATACATCTCAGAGCTCTGTGGCCTGTGGCATGGAAACTGCTGGTGTTACTATTTGTTTGAATAAAGCTAAGCTTTCAGCTTGTCTCCTCTGCCTTGCAGTGACACTAGAAGTTAATTTTTTGGCAGTAGTATTTCATGAATGACTTGAAATGCCATCTTAGTCCTTTGAAATATAGTCTTACCTCCTGGACAGAAAATAAGTGGAAATATTTTCTGCCTGTTAGAAGCATAGATGCATTTCCCTTCCAAATACTTATAACTCATATTTTTTATTTTTTAAGATTATTTTTCTTTAAATGAAGCTAAACTATTACTGTAGAAGGTCTGTGCACTCGAGTCTAGTACACATGCATGGTGCTCTGTGGGCACACCAAGTGAAAAGATTTTCCTCATAACAGATGGAGAGATGCTAGAGTTAAGGTTTTTTCCCCAGGTTTTATTTTAAGTTTTTCTTTCTTCAGATTCTTCAGTTTGAAGAAATTTTAGCTAACCCTTCATACCGAGAGCACTTCCGAATCTACATGGAAAGGATGGACAAGATGGCTTTGATTGGTCTTTGGGAGTCTGTGGAGTACCTGAGGAACGCTACCAAGGTGGAAGAAATTGCAAGTCCATGCGACCTGTACATTAATGGGAATCTCTTCTGCTTGTGATCTTGATGTTAAGAAATGTCTTTGTACTGATGTTACTAAAATAGCAATAGCACAGGATGGGAGCTAAGCAATTTAGGTGGTTTTTATCTTATTCATGTCAATGTTTGAGGATAATATGCAATTAAAAATTGTGGACTTTATTGTTCTATGTAGAAACATGACCTGTAAAAAGGATGCTTGATATGCTAAAGTAGTAGAATTATTTCCTACTCCACCAGAGGAAAAAATACCACAAACCTTGCAGTAATGTTTTGGCTTTAGTTGTATCAGCTCATGTGAAACTTAAAAGTACATTACTGTTTGATAGTCTGTTCGTAAACTTCTCATCTTGCCAATTACAGGTAGCCCATTGAATCCAAAAACCATGATAACTGATGTGTAGATGTTTTCAAAATCCTTTTGAAAGAGAGATTTTGCTTTGGAAGACCCCTTCATCTCCCCAACAGTTCTGTTGCTGTAGAAGCAACTAAGTTTCTCTAGGGAACAATGCTGTATTACAATTTATGCTAAGATGAAGTAGGAATGAGAACCCTGAAACAGGGATAGAAAATACAAAGTTGCAAGAAGTATCCAGGAGCAATGGTGCAGAGAAGAATGTTCAGGATAAGCTTGCTGTTTGTGAACAGTGGGGTGGATTTTGAAGGAGAAACTGTTCTAAATCTCCAAGATTCATACTAGCATGAAATATGAATTTCATTATTAAGTATCAGTTAACTTCTTATTCACTGTAATTTTATTACGCTATTATGTAAAAAGATTGTAGTTCATTGGAAAAACAAATGGCATCCTGTAACCAAAGTAGCAAATAATGGAGCATGAATAGTGACTATTAATACAACCTGAAGAAACAGCTAACAACCAACTCAGGCTAGAAGTGTTCATAAAAAGGGCTTGTCAGGCGCTGTAAAGAGAGTTGTATAAATCAGTTTTGATTTGCAAACTGCTCATGTTTGGAAAAGGTGCTATAAATCATTTTATGACCTTTCAGCTGTGATTTCTCTTTTTGCTTTCAAAACAGTGTGTAGTGTGTTTATTCAAGACTTCCCATTTTACAAAAGAGATTCTAACATACTGTGCTCCTGTTCCTGCATGGAACATAAAGGTGGTCTGCCACTACAGGGGCAGTTCTGATTACAAAGAAGGAGCAGCTATAAAGCCATGTGGCTGTGATATTGTCATATGAGGGAGGCCAGCACACGGTGCCATACTAATGGAGTGAATAAAACCTTTTTAATTTGGGTCACTTTAGAGAGCTAATAATTTAGAGAAATGATTATAGGCTGTGATGCATGACTTCCTCTCTTTCCTGTTCATTACTGCACAGTTCAACCCTGTGCACTGTTCTGTGCTCAGTGGAAATACCTGGCCTCATGTACTGACAAATGTCTCTTCAGTTGCGCTTTTTTTCTGTTTCTTTTTTCTCCCTCAAAATTAACTATAAGGTATAAAGTGAGTTGATCCTATTGAGAAGGCAGGAGAGCCAATACAGCTGAACTCTACAATCTGAACTTAAAATGGTGACCACAGTGTTGCTCTAGCACTTTTTGTCCTTTCAATAACAGCTTTTGGAGCACGCTTTTAAAGGCAGTGGGTGCTGCTTCTCTAAGAAGCTATGGTAATTTTAGAACACAGCTGTTTCTTCACTTACCATTAAATAGGGGTATTTATCTTGTGAAATCAACTGCCTAGCATAGGTGCACAGGCAGAGTGCTTGATCTCAGTAAGAGATTCACAGATGCGTTCTCATACATCTGGGCATGAAATTAGTTTGATCATCCTTCAAATTATGCACCTGGATCCTGAGTCGTCCTGATATTTTTAACATCTTTTCATTATTCTTTTCTCCCTCCCTCTCTCTCCTTGCTTTGTAGGCTGAAATTCCTCAACTGGTGAGTGAAATTTATCAGAATTTTTTTGTGGAAAGCAGAGAAATACCTGTGGAAAAATCCCTTTATAAAGAAATACAGCAAAGTCTTGTGGGGAATAAAGGCATTGAAGTATTCTACAGAATCCAGGCAGACGTTTACGAAACTCTAAAGGACAGATACTACCCCTCATTCATTGTCAGTGATTTATATGAGAGATCAGTCAAGAAGGAAGAAGAAAGAAGTTCTGCTCAGCTAGCTCCTGAGGACAAAGATGAAGTGGTGAGTCAGACAGTTTCTTTCACTGTTATTTAAGGTGGTCTGAAGATGATCCTGAGTAAAGCATATAATAGCATCTTCTGTCCTTGAGCTTTGGACTACTTTTCTGATGTATTTATAAATGTCATCACTCTTGTAGTTTCATCAGGCAAACCTGGTATGTTTACAAGGTCTTTGAAACAAAATGGTAAGAAATGACTGCTTAAACTTCAAATTAGTTGAAATAGATATTTCAGATTTCCAAGCCTTTTGCATTTTGTGTTTATCGTCTGTCGTCCTTCTTAGTATTAGAGAACTCAAAATATACCTTATACCAGCCCAGCTGCTCTGCTTTTCAGTGAAGGAAATCTCCCTGAAACATCAGTAGGTTTCTTTCTAGACATTGTCTGTCCCCATCCCCTGTGCATTTCCTAGGCACTAAGTAGGTTTTAAAAGTTGCACAGAAGAGGAGGAAAAAATAATGAAAATTATGATCTTAGTGCTTTTTAAATAATTTATTGAATAAATTAATAGGCTATGTTGGAAGATAAAACTGATTTAAAATATCACTAGAACTGTAAATACTAAAACAGGACATTCAAAATGTCATAAGCAATACCCCAATGACAGGTCTCTTGACTTTCATTCAGGCTGCTGCTTCAGATCAGCATGGATATCTTCATTTTACACATGAACTTGCTCAGAACACAGTGAAGTGTAATACTTTGTCTCAGACTGGCTCTAAAGGGACAAAGAAGCAGAATCCAGAGATGTTGATGTACATTCTCCCCTTTAGAAACCATTTTTCCAGAACTTACAGCTTTTGTAGTTGCTGCTTAAATATGACATTCCTTTCTGTAGGTGAGCTATTACAATCTCTCTAGTCTGCATATCAAGAAATCTGCAGAGATGAGCTGTTATAAATAAATTACTTCCAATATGAACTTTCAGAGCTTGCTGGATTTTTCATTGTTTGTTTCTCCCTTTATTCTTGATAAAAAATTCAAGACACGTTTTCTGCTTTTTTCTCTCCTAACTCAGCGATGTGTTGAGGGTGGTAGATACTTCAAAGACTTTTTGTCCTTGTGTTTGCAATCACTGGAACTTGGAGTAAAGACTGTTACTGGTTTTGTCCAGAACTTTCTAAACATTGTGCTTTTTAATCTCTTATATATGTTTTATGCAGAGTCTAGCAGAGATAACCGTTTCTCTAAGAAAAACTGACACAACACTTCAGGGCTAGCTGTCCTCTGTCAGATAATGCTTTAGCTGCCAAAAAGTGAGATTTTTGACACCAGCATCATCTGTCCTTCCTCTGAGTCCTTGGATATATATGTGCCAGATCTGAAGGCTGAGTCTGCAGTGAAACCTTAAAGGCTAATGTATTACCAAGTTGGCTTACATGGTTAAAGGTGTTTTGCAATTTTAACAACAAATTAAGTATGAAGTTGCATATACTGTTAGAGCATCTCTTGAGTAGAGCAATCCTAATGGCTGTGCCATGCTTCAGGGTCTTCGAGGTGAAAATAAATTATAAGAATTCGTCTTTCTGAAGGTTCTTTCAGATGTTAGTGAAAATGACTAATAGGTTTGGTTTTTTTCCCTCTCCATGTGTAGGAAAACAGAGCTCAGAAATCCGATGTTTCTGGAAGGATCCATATTGTTAGCAAATATTAATTGTTTTCATTTTAGTTTAGGTTTTGGAAGTCTATGTCCTCACTTCCTGGGGCAATGTGGGAGTTACCTATGTTAATTCTCTATAAACTTACTGTTAGAGCTGGATAGGTAAAAAGCCATCTAGTGTCCTTATGGAGGGGAGGACAAAACAGTGAGCCCCGATTAAACTGGAGACAATCTAATCAGAAGATAGCAATTAGGGATTCCATTCAGCTGGTTCTGCTGCATGTGCAACAAGCTCTTTCTTCTTCCTTCCAGCCTGTCATGGCTTCTTGCTAATTTGAATACAGGTAACTTGTTACCTTGTAATTTTAGCATTTTTGTGATAAGCCCAGTGATTCAGCAGCGGTTTTTTCTGTATCTGAAATGTTAATGACAGGGAAATCATGTAGCCTACCTCTGGGAGCAGAGCCTTGCTAATTTGTGATTAATTGCAATCCTTTGATTACTAGAACCAAGCTTCTTCGTATGAGAAGTCTTTTAATTCTTCAGTGTTCAAAACAGCTTTTTTAATTCTTTTTGACCTCTCTGTTTCCCAACAAGTATAAGGGTTTTTTATTTTATTTTTGTGGTTTTGTTCAGTAGTGTTTTGAGTAACACCCAGTGTTGGTAATTATTATTATTACTCACGTTTTTGTAGTGCCAGGAGATGACAACGAGCTTTCATGTGCTGGCCTCTGTACGTATGCTTGGAGGCAGTCTCTGACCTGCCAGTCCTTGCAAGTAGACAGAAGAAAAGACAGGGCAGGCAAATGCAAAGCTGGAATAGGGCATGGATTTCATAGCCTAGACCTCCTGACTTCTGCATTATGTTACTCTCCCTTTTGAGGATCATACTAAGGAGATTAAGTATTGTTGCAACTGCATCTCTTTTCAGGCCTTATTTACTAAGACATAAAATACTGCATAATTTACAGTACGATTGTCTCCTCTAAAACTCACTGTTTAGTAGAGTATGAGACTTCCTTCTGTTAGCTTTTTGTTAATTGTATAAAGATAGAGCTTACTTAGTGGGAGTATCTTTCACAGAACACAGAACTCTTCTTCATGAGGTTGGATTCATAGCTTCCTACAGATAAATTTAGATACATTCAGTCACAGGCAGACCTCAAAGACTTTGAACATGGCAGCAGTAACATCTCAGTGCTGTGTTTGCTGAATCTCAAGGTCTCTTCATGCCTATTTGGAGAAGTACGGTAGGAAAGGGGAGGCTGAGGTAAATGCCAAAAGATGTTAAAGAGAATGTCACTGAAAGGTGTGAAAGTTTCTATTTTTTTGCATGCCTGTAGTACACAAGATGGAAAAAGCTGTTGATTTGCCTGAATGAATATGAGAAATCATTTATGGGTTTAGGGTAATGCATATGTGCATTTAACACATTTTTGTTAATACGTCTAAAAACAGCAGTAAAATCTGTTCATGAAGAGAGAGGACGTGGTTTAGATTGTTCTGCAGGCTGATAAATCTGTCTTACGAGGGTTTGCAGGAGGCAGGATTGTTTATTAGAGCTGTGGGGTTTTTTGGTTTTGTCCTATGTCTCCCCCCATCTCATTATCTTTTGGTTCAGAGCTAAGTATTTGCTTTTCTGTCTGGCTCTGAATATTGATCATGACTGCTAAGCTGTTGTTGCTTTTAAAGTAAACTTTGATTCTTCCTCTCATTTACACTAAAGCCTTAGCTTGAAGGTCATTTTATACAGTTGGCAAGAGTTGCCAAAGAGCTGTGGTATAAGTGGTTGGTGTTGGTTTTGTTTGGTTGGGTTTTTTTAACAGACTTACATTTCATGTTGGATCTGATGGTCGGAATATCTGTTAGAATCTGTTATACCTTATTTTTATCTATATCAAGAAGTGTTCATACACCAAAAATGCTTATGGAGCAAACAGTAACTGTCTCCTTTTTCATATTAATTATGCAGTTACTCCCATTTTCTATTCCTAGAGCCAAGGTTGCGAAGAAGCTACTGAAGAATGCAGTGCAAGAATTAATGAACAGGCCAGTTATGCTGTAAATAAACTTCGCCAGCTAAATGACAAGCTTGAGTATAAGAAACAGGCTCTAAATTCCTTATGTAATTCACCAAAACCTGACAAAAAGGTAAGTACCTTTAGTGTCTTCAGTCATTTAATATTATGTGTGTGTTTGTGTAATATCCAGTTGTCCCAGGCTTTTTTGGACAGGTCAGATTGCTATTTCAATCACGTGGTTAGAGAAAGTGAAATCAGAGCTTAAGTTTATTTTACCATTTCTTTTTTTAAAGCTATTGTAACTAACATTGCAAGTATGATTTATTGGCTTTGTTTGTCATAGAATAATGACCACTTTCCCAGCGGTCTTGCTGCTGTGTCACTGGCATCTCCTTCTTGCATCTCGACCCACCTCTTATCTGTGTAATTCTTTATGGCAGCTTGTTTGTCCCTGCTGCCTGCGCAGCACTGCAGCGGAGGGATGTGCTGGTTAACTTCTGCTCCCCCTGCTGGCCTTGAAATAGCAGCACAATTTCTCAATCTCTACAGTTGTCTGGCTTGCTCAAATAAAGGGGGGAAAAACCCCCAAACCTATAAAAGTGACTGATTTCCTTTATAAGGAGTTAGGAGAAATCTTCAGGGCACACTTTCATCAGTCTAAAAATTCTGAGAGATATATAACTGTGCCTCTGGGCTTGGATTAAAAAAAGTAAATCTTCTGTTGGCAAAGTGCAACAGTTAAGCAATCTAAGAACTTCA